ATTGCGGCACAGTAGCTGAGGTGTTCCCCACCTTTAGCTAACGTGTATGATGATGATGATGATGATCCACCACATTGCAAACAGTAACCTGATATGTCCCGTCAGACTGGCTGGCTTGTTAAAAGTTTCGGAGTCGCGCGGGGACAACAGATGCCTAATTGTCTTTTCTGCTTACCTCCCATAAACAGTAGAGATACTGCGCGAAAAAGGCATAGTATAAAACACAACGAGCGCCTACGTCACAGAAAAGATACAGCTAATGTGTGGCAGGCTGGTGATGTGAACGCACAAGTCGGAAATATATCATACAACCAGCTGCATAAGGGTTGCCAACAAGGCTTGGGCCCCTGTAGTGATAACGGTGGGTCGTTGCTGCTCTCGCGTTCTAATTTCCTGTTAAGCATTCACTGCGAAGACACTCAAAATCCTCGAAGTATCTCTGGGCGCAAACTGCCCACATGGACATCAGTTGTCGTTGGAGGTTGTCGCTCGGTTTGGAGCACAACAGTAAAATCAGCTCATGCATTATATATGCTGATCTCAGGATGCGTTTCTGCGGACCGTCGGGACGACACCGTGAGCGAATGGACTTTTACCTACTGGAGTAGCCATATGTTCTGAATGTGTGTCAAAGTACGCTGGTATCCGAGCTGCGTTCGTACTCAACGATCACAATCGTAGGTCACTGACCGCATGTTCATCAGATATTAGTAGCGGCAGGTATATCTTCATGTGGCAGACCCGATTACTAGACTGGTCAGTGAATCTCTAAGCAGCTTCTGGAATATTTCGAAGCACGCCGACACATTTCGACTGCAAACGAATACGACGAGGCTCGGAAAATCTTCAAGGCGTAACTCCGTGCTAGCTAGAAGATAGGTTGCCAAGGCTTTTGGCTTCATCGTGCATCTTGGAAACGGCTGCTACTCTTGGTAACCACCGAAATTATTCCATCTGATGCGGAAACAGTCAGCGGAAGACCCCGTGGTATCAAAACAACATATCAGAACATTTGAAGTGAACACATGAAAAACAATTTAATCGGGTGGAAATAGCAGCTCCTTCCAGGCCAATGATTGTTCTGCTCCTTTTAGCATCTCTCTTAGTTGGCGCTCGCGCGCAGAAGTCGAACATGGGAACGGAATGCTAAAATTAAATAAGATCACAGGGTTAGATAGACTTCCTACAGCCTTTCGCAAACTGGATGGATTAGATCTTGTAGATGAGTAAAAGGATTTGTGGGCAACGGTGGAAACAAGAGATTGTTCCAACGGACTGCAGCTTCACAGATATAGTCCCGAATTTCAAGTTAGCCTCACCTTTGGAATGGAGCCGTCACAGAGGAATTGGTCTGATCTCCATCGTCTCTAAGGTACTTGCATCTGTAGTTCACCATAGAAGAACTGGTACCTGTGAAAGCCAGATTGGTGAAAAGCGGGTTGGTTTTCATCGAAGTCTAGGCTGTATTAACCGATCCGTCACGTTAACTCAGTTGTTGGAGCACCGACGGTTATACTGGCGGCCCACCCTAGTGGTGTACAACATCAAAGATGCCTTCGATTTGGTGGAGCCATATGCCTCTCGAGATTTGTTGGTTAGGAGAAATATGACAGAAAAATAAATATTAGTAAAGCCACTTACGCGCGTAGCTTGGTAGACTGGGGGCTTCTAAATAAATGTGTTTAGTCTCTAAATGTCCGATGCACGCCTCTCTAAGCATGACTATGGAATACTGACGTCATGGAAGTTGCGCTCACCGGACACAATTTAGAAGGTGTGGGGTTTCTTTCAGGTGATTGATCTCTCGACGTGGGGTAGGACGACGTTACTGCCCAAACCTGTAACAGCTTAAAAACCTGCCAATCAGCGATTCCACAGGTTGGTCTTAGCTGTCCATCTTTCGGGATGTGTTTTGCACCTTCAAAAGGCAATAGTTTCCTCTGGGATTGGCTGAAATCACCTCGTGCGGTGACCATTCGCAAGACAGCTACAAGTCATTCAGCAATCCAACAATAGATAGCTGTCAATGCCCGTAGAACGAAAGGTAATGTTAAAAGCAACAATAAAATTTCTAGGCGATTTTACCACGCTTCACCACTTTTGACGTCGGCGCGACCTCGCGTTCACACTGAAGCGTAGCGTCCACATTGGTGCTGTTCGTTAAACCCTTCTGTAGATTAGGAAGCCTGGCTCATCAGATCGATATTTAAGCCTAGTGGCGTCCGACTGTTGGTTCCTCCATAGTTTTGTGAAATCTGGTGGGGATATCGCGCGAACAATGAGCCTGTGCGAAACCCTGTTTATGGCGCATGAAGAGTAGCTGAACCTCTCAGCACCGTTCTTTCCTACTCTAGTCGCGAACGGTTAGACCACGTGTTACGCATGTCAACACATTGACTCCAGTGATGTAGTTTGTTTATACGACAGAGGTATGAATGGAAGAAGGTGAGAGAAGGTTATGTGACGACTTGGTAAAGTGGATTAAAGATACGTCGAAGGTAGAAGTAGTTGGCGTATCCCACTACCTAGACTGAAGTCCTTAAGACAAGAAACAAACTTGGTTGGAGTTACCCGCTGAGGAGACGACTTCAGTGGCGTTTATGTCGCTATGTTCGTTGTCCACCTCCCGTATTAGTCTGTCTTTTCAATCTTGACCGCATTACGGATGCATAATGAACAAAGATCGGGATGTTTTTCAGTTTTCTTTTTCGCGGCCATCTAATTGATTTGTATGGTACAATACAGCTGGGGTGTTTCTCACTTCTTGCTAACGTACAGGATGATGAAGGATGAGGGATATGAATTCGCAGAGCAAAGTGTACGAAAATTGACGGCAAGTATTCTCAAGTAGATTGCTTATTAATGACTGAATCGGTAGTTAGTCAAACAAACCGGACCTTGTTTACATTGCATACGTTGTAGTACTCGAACTCAGACTGTCTTTAACAAGAAATCAGGTAGCTTACAGGAACTGGAGAGATGTGCCTTCCATTGGGGAGAATTATTGTCCAGCAGGACTTAGAAATAGAATACGTTACTGTGATTAAAAAGGAACCAGGCAACAAAAGAATCCACCTTTGCTTTGGCTGAGCAAAACTGAACGTGGTATTGGTTAGTTTTACTAGTGGTTCGGATGAATTCCGTGTTCTACATTTCCCGTACCTTGACTCCGAGGCCGAGCGAGTCGACAGGAAACACTGATTTGAGCTCGTCACAACAAATGGTTCTTACCAAATCGTGCTATCCCCTGTCGCACTCTTGGTCAAATGCTCTGGAATTCTATACTAGCAAAACTTGTAAATTACTTTCTGTTGCATGTTTTGTTTGTAGGTGTCATGTTAAATGGCAGACTGACAGGTTAGGCTTGGCGGACATGTGACCAGGCTGGAGTCGGATTCCGCTAGTACATAGGCATTTCTGGATAGATTGACTTAGAGGTAAGCATGCTTCGGTCTGTGCTCTACGCCATAGATGCGTGAGGCACGACAAAGTTGACTCGAAATATGTTCCCATCCTTGTCGAGAAGTCGGTAGGAGCACGCGATCGGCCAGCTCGCCTGATCACCATATACCGCTGACTGGCAATTCATCGAAAATGCTATTACGAGGATCCATGGAGCCCAGATGGTTCTTCGGAGCCGTAATCATTCATAGATATGATGTCTGAAGACAAAGCATACAAGACCGCAGCGTGATCATGGTACCGAACGGGCAACAGCTTTTTGATCACATTAGAATACTTGCCATTTTCGGTCTCCGATACCCGCGTTGCATAGCGAGTACCGATGCGAACCACCGAGTGAGCAGTGCACAAGTCCACCAGATGGTGAACGTCAACAGATCCTTTGGTGTTGCGCTGAATTGCCCTTGGGACTCACATTCTACCCTTTGACAAAACACACCCTTAAGACGTTAGCCTCAGCTTGTTATTCGTTAACACGGTGCATGCTTGAGTAAAGATGCAGTCTTCTGTCTTGGCAACCCGACGAGAAGTTATGAATAAGCTATGCGAAGGAATCAATCTGACCGGCGCATGCCGTCAGCCACACCGGTTACTGCAGATCTTTCCTGAAGCGGCGTAACCAAGAAGCCAATTGGGTTCGTGCGTAAGGTCTAATGTTCGTGCCTCGACCTTCCCATTGGACGACTATGCTCTCAGACCCCCTTCGTCTGAAGTCACTGCATTCATTTACTTTAGCTAGCACGATTGTTATTACGTCAATACTATTACCAGTTATTGCACAACAGCCATGCAAAATGTACTTCGGTGCTCGTAACTCAAGGGATCCCAATCCGTTTGCAGTGTCAGTTTTTGTTTAAGCTTAACAGTATTTAGGGTAAATACAATGTGCCTGCCTTGAAGCTAATCTGCCTATATCAAAGAGGGGTTACTGGACACCGTGTAGGTGAAGTGACTCCCATCGATCCTATGGGAGACCTCTGTCCCTAACGCCAAAACCATTCACTCTCAGCGATGGCATCGGAAAGATCTGGCCATCGAAAGTATCCCCCATCAAACGGCCAGCCTGCTCTGCACACATATAGGACATTCGCCACTCTGTGCAGACGAAACTGGAGCAACCTTCATCATCAGTATCAAGGTATTAAACAGCCTACAAGGAGAACGCAGCGCACATGTTCGCTATTGTCAAAGAAATGGTGAATATTCATGTTTCGTTACTAAAGACGAGAACAATTCTCCAGTAGAAGGGTAGTTGTGTTTACATACTAGAGTACTTTACCCGTCTCGCATTATGGAGACAAGGGTGGGATTAGTGAACTCGTGGAACCTGTTCTCTAGAACTGCGTCGGAATGTCACTTGTCGCCTAACTGGACTAAAATCAGTAGGTAGTGCGCAGTGGAGTGTGTTTTTAATTAGCCAAGTAGCTATCACGGGCTGCTGGTCTATTTCAACTACAAAATGGATACAAAAGGAAAACAACAAGCCCTCCCAAGTTGACAGCGTAGTGTTCAACCGGCTAATGAGAAGCACAGAACTCAGCGTGATGATCGCAACAGATGCTGTTTGGGAAATATAATGCGAAAATTCACTACATCACGGTTATTATGATTAAAGTACGAAATTATACCAACAAGTGAACAAAGTGATGTTTGCACAAAGAGCAGAGTAAAAGACAGATGGAAAATCGTAGAGGACAATTCTGTGGGCAGCAAAGAGCTCATTGTTATTAAAGGAAACAACAACAAAACTCTGTTGGGGAATGTGAGGTGAGGTTAATCAAAGCAAAGCGAATATGTTCATTCGTCCGCTCCTTGATCCAGTCAGAAAGTGCCGAGGCAGACGTGGTATCAGCTGCAGCTGCGTAATGTACTCTCCAGTTGGGTACAGTGCAATCTGTCCAAAGGGGACGAGGAAGCTGGGTCGTTATTGTGTGTCATATAAAGTGACAAAGTTTAGTGTGCATTCAAAAAACTTAACAGGACAGAGAGTTGACTACTTTTATATACACCATACAGGGCATGAGTGGGAACAATTCAACGATAAGGGTGCGGTGACAACGTGATATGCTAGATCGATACAGTTTTCTTAAAAATGTCGTAGGAGGATGGCCACCACGTATGTATCACTCGACATAAGCCGAAACAAGGAGAGAACTCATTCACTTACAGGTCGCATCATTTTTCCACTCGGACGATAAGCCTCGGAGGTATTGAATTCCAGCACTACTAGCAGACCGTCTGACGTTGCCAACACGAAGTGCAGTAGCTCGGAAGCGAAGTGAACTCCACCGTCATCGGGGGATAGATGGCAAGACGCCGTGATGGTCAAGGGTGTCCGAATGGGCTGGATCGAATATGAGACCGTAAAAGAAACACAGTTTGTTAAGTGCTCAAAGTTAACTGGTAAATCCCACTTTCTCCACAGGTGTGTTACGAAAGGATGGCGAAGACGAGAGTGAAAAAGTCACGAGGTCACTTACTGTCCGAGGCAACTGATGACTGGTCACAGAGGACAGCTATGATGTGTATTGGAGAGTTATAAGTAACGTGAAGTATTGACACACGTCCAAGCAAGACCAGAGGTTGCTTGTCATTCGAACTGTTTACTTTGCTCCTCCAGTAACACATTTATTTTGAGGCGTCCCTACGCTTTACGATAGGGTTGTGTACAAGGGCGTAGAACAACTTGGTTTTATGGAGAAGGAGCAAATGAAAACGGCTTAAGCGGTTGGACAGTAAATGTTTGATTCATTTTGGTCTTTCATTGTTCGTTTCTCGGGGAGCGACTAGTCGCATTGAGAGTGGCAAGAAAAACGGGGTATTCGGTCAGCCGAATGCATTCTTACCGGGTCCAACTGGAAGGACCAGCATGAAGCCATGGTGTCACCGGATAAACCCGATAACCATAGGAAGTGGGTCCTAAGTCTACACACGAGCGCAGAAGTGAAACTCAATCTTTTATCAAAAACCATACTAAAAGCAATACTCCCCCAAAATGTTACGTTTAAGCACACAAAATACTGGCTGTGGGTACTTTGAACCGCAGTAGAGTTTATGATGGCCAGTGTTAAACTATGTACACGGGCAGTTAGTACAATAATATCTTCTGTCCGTCCACTACTACCTCCTAGAAGGCGATACCGACACTAATGCAGCCAGCACTAATGAAGCAAATATATGAGATCGAATGGAGTAATCACAATCCATTGTCGGATTCGACAACCTTACTAACCCTGGTCCCAACAGATACCAATTTCGAGACCAACGATAATGTCTAGCTTCTTGCCCGCGTTGAGAACAATCTTAGTACCAGTTTAAGCGCCAAACCATGAGAAAGTAAAAGTGCCGATTTCTTTGAAGAAAGAGTTTGCGCTGTCAGAAGCGATAGTTCTCAGGTTTACACAGAGAACACGATTTCAAGGACGCTGATAGTAGATCAAAAAGCAATTGCTTAAATAGCCCCGGTAGTACTAACTTGGTGTAAACTCTCAGCCGATCCACACCAAATTTGCATCTGCTAATTGCTCAAGAGAATGCCTACCCAAAATCGTCAGTACTGCCAGAGTAGTTACGGAATTTGTTACACATCGGCGGGAAATAGGAAGCTATGTATTTTCTAGGAGTCTGACCGCATTCGGTGTTTAGTTGGAGGAGGATCGTTTTGCAAAAACGGTGTAAATGATTGGAGCCAGGCTAAGGACGCAGAATCTCGGGTGTTAAATTTTGTCCAAAAAGAGTGCTCGGAAGCATTAGACAAATCGAAGTTACAGGTTTCATGTTTGCCAGTTAAAGATATGGTGAATGTCCATGCTGTGCTTAACTAGACCCACTGAATCCACGACCTCTAATAGCCTTCCATTAAGATAGTGGGACCAGCTCCGAGTGGCCGAAAAGGTGCGAAAAGGGTGCAAAACAGAAGTGTTACGAATCTCCCAAGTCCTCCTAGACGGTAGTAAAGGGAGTTAATTACAGTAATTTTGAGTGCACTGGATTTCCATACACAGTTGTCATTCGCAACTGCACCGAGAAGGACAAGTTGTGATGGGGTTTCCAGAGTATAAGCGGAGGCACATCAAACAAAGAGAGTAGCACCTGTAGGGAGAAACTGGTACTGGATCGCAAGATAAAGCAGGCAGGAGGAATCAGCCATGAATAGCAAGGACCAAGGTGCCAAATGCGGAAAAATGCCGGTGTGTTTGTAAGATAGCTACCCGACGACTCGCGTCGCTTCTTCTTTCCGATTACGTAAACCTTAGAGTCGTCGCTTGAGGTATTACGATAGTTGTAATAGAGTCGAGGTTGCTTCGCTTCGTGACAACGTTTTAACCCGAATGCATTTAGGTTCGTATGGGATCCACTTAAGAGAGCTGGTCAAATCTCTAGCCGCTTCAGTGTATACCCGGCATGCCACTGCCTGCCATTAACCAGCTTCGTGTCACTCTGTAATGCAAGGACGGAACAAAGCTCAGATGTGCACATAACAAATGAAATTTGTCTACAAATGTTGAGGCCGCTGCGAGTTGTGTAGTTTTCGTTGGGAGATGGAGGTGGCAGTTTGCTATGGTACGAGGTATATTTCTACGATACGGGCTATAACGATGTACAAATGTTTAAGGTGCAGTAAGCTTCTTGTGAAAGATTGGCGGGCACCAAATTGGCAGGTCTCAAAATGGTTCCCTACGTTTAACGCCGTTTGGTTCAGAATCTCGTCTAGGATTATAGAGAGAGCTGTTTGAAGACAGCCGTTCTGGCATTCATTGTGTGTGCACCATATACTTTTATCTTCAGAAGTAGTGTTCAAAAGTTCATTGATGCAAGAGATATAATAAAAGTTGTATGTTATTAATAGAGAAGTAAGCGGAGCTGAATATGGGAAGCGTCCGCCTCAGTGAGGTCGATCAGGCGATCGATCGAGTAGACCGATAAGATTCTAAAAACCCAGCTAGTTGCACTTTCCTCCTACTTGGGAATAGAACGTTTGTGCGCAGAGCGGTGTGAGTTCTTCCTTTGACGCGGTTGGGAGTGGCAGAGGGCAGATATAAGAAGAAGCGTTTACAACAGTGTTGATAGAAGTCAGAAGAACTCAAAGATGTCAGTCAGTCTTGAACATTTGCAGGCACTTTTGCAGCATCAGCAGTCGCAGTTCGAAAAGTCACAGAGGCAGTTGATTGAACTGATAGCACAAAAATTAAACATGAAACTATAATGGGAACACGAACTGAAGCTGACATCGCAAGAAATTGTTTCAAAATGCCAGAGGTTGCTCAACTTGAATCCTGCTACAAATGTGGTTGCAAATTCGGAATCCAGGGAAGAGCAACAATTCTGCCACACAGCCACTTCAAGATCAGATGTGCCCATAAAACCTGAGGATGCGACAGTTGAACTCAATGGCAGTCAGATTACGCAGATGAATAGCCACCAAGAAGCAATGCTCCAACATGGTCCAGAATGTTGCAGAATCACCAGTGCTGCCCTGAACCTCAAGTCAGTCACTAAAGCAGTATCCAGAGCAAAGCGACTTGCGCCAAGCAAGAAAGAAAAACATTGCAATTATCATGCGGGGAAAAGCGAACAGACAGCGTGCGTCAATTCAAAATTGGGAACATGATGTACGCACGAGACTTCCTAGGATCGAAGAGGTGGTCGACAGGAAGAGTGATCCACAGAAACGGTTGGCTCATCTACGAGCTAATTGTAGGAAAGGAGAAATCGGTCAGGCACACCAATCAGCTGAGACCGAATCACGGTAAGACTCAAAGTCCTCCAGAACCGCCATCACTGCCATGGGACATCCTGCTAGACACGTTTTGTTTGGAAGACGAGGCTGAGCGGCTACGTGGATCACAACATAAGATGTAAGCAGCAGGTGACGCACAATGTAGGCCGACCCGAAAGCGAAGACGACCACCATGGCTACAGGTTGATCCCAAAGCGAAAACCCATGAACCAAGTCCAGTTCGTATTGTACGCTGGCATACTCAAATTGAAGGGGAGTTAATAGTGACGTAAGCGGAGATGAATATGAGAAGCGCCTGTCTCAGTGCGGTCGATCGAGTAGGCCAGTGAGTTTTTAAAAAACCCAGCCAGTTGTACTTTCCTCATACTTGTGAATAGAACGTTTGTGCGCAGAGCGGTGTGAGTTCTTCCCCTGACGCGACTGGGAGTGGCAGAGGACAGAAGTAAGAAGAAGCGTTTACCACAGTTATCGAACAACATGGTCAGCTGTGAGCAGCGAGCGGCGGTCAAGTGAGTGCGTATAATTCGGAAACGTGATCCCAACGTCTGACTCATTTCGGGACTTAGGAATTAGGTACTCCAACTCTTGCAATTTCTCCGAACACGTGCTTTCTCAGGTTGCAAAAGCAAAGCAGCTATGCGGATTTATCATCAGAAGTTTCTCCCTATCTAAAGCACGACTTGAGTCATCTAAGATAATAGTACGACCGACTCTGAAATACTGTACTATCGTTCACAGCCAATTGAGAAAGAAAGATAAGACGGCTCTGGAAAATGTCCAACGATCATTTATCAAGCTGGTCATGGGGTGCTGCTCAAACCTGAGTTATTATGATCGCTGTCGAAAAGTCCAACTGGATCCTCTTTGGTTGAGAGGGTTGAAGAACAACCTCGTTCTCTTCCACAACATTATAAACCAACGAATTTACGCAGACAGCACCGCACTTGAACTACGGAAGACTGCAGTCTACCCCGAAGGTAATGGCGGCTACTTGCTACGCACTTGCTACGCACGGCGATCGAATTTCTTGTTAGTGATACACTGATCTGTGGAACAAACTACTCCTACAGATACGCATGAGTTCAATGTGTCACCTTTCGAAATTCCATACAGACATTACCCACTATGTCAAATGTGTTGAAGATCTTTGTCAGGTCAGGTCAGGTCAGGTCAGATGGACGATAGAGGCTTCCGCCTAACGAGCGTCCAGTTCTTGTGCCGGTAAGTGAAGCGGCCCCCGGCACTTAGATGCTGGATTATCTCTTCTTGCTTCTGCAATGGAATGAAGCAAGAACAAGAGCAATCTCTGCACCTTCATATGCCAGCATCAAAATACACTACATATTCCAGTACAACTACAATATCTCTGGAAAAAGGATGGACCAACAATTGTCTAAGCCCCTTTAGAAGGCTTCTACGGTATCACACTCCACTGAATCAGAAGGAAGTTTATTCCAGTAGTTAACTACTCGGTTCGTAAAAAACTTTGCCCTGATGTCCAAACGAGCTCTGTGATGTTTGAGCTTCAGGCGATGCCCGCGCAGATGGTCTGACGTAGCCAACTCAAACAGATGGGTGGAACTAATACCACTAAGTCCCTTAAT